ATTCAAGGGTCATTGGTCACTTTTCGATTTATTGGTGAGAGAAGTACGTTGGAAAATAGCATTTCAATCTACAACTAAGAGGCGAACAAATGTTACTCCCTTTTGTGCATGTGACGACCGTTCCGACAAAAAGACTTTCATATTTTTCATTCTCTTCAGATTGTTTTCATTAAGTTAAACGTTTTAGAGAGAAGTAAGCAAGGCGACAATAAGGTTTATACTCTCTGAAATATACTGGTAGTTGTATTTGAAGAGCACTATGAACCTGTATGACCTTTTTGGAAACATGGTCTACTTGGTTCCACAGACAAACTTTAGTGATGGGTTTAGGAGGTACAATCCCTTCCGTGCATTGTCTTGTGAGAAAAACTGTTTAGTTTTTTCGTAGCGAAAACGAACGTAAAAGCGCTCATACTACTGCAAATACATATTGAAAGGTTTTCTGAACACAATGGCCACCATCGCTTGGGAAAATCGCACCTCCCTTCCAAGATACTAGATTGGCCGATGATACGACTTACGATTAGTATATTACTGTAACGAACTATCAGGTAGTAGAATGGCCAGTTTCCTCAAAACATTGCCATCGTAAGATCCACAATCACCAAACGATTAGTAATGCACATAAATGTCATGTATTGGAGCACTGCTTCCAATCAAAATCTGAAACAAAGTGCGTCGTACAAGGTATTTTCAATGTAGAAAGCATAGAAATGAAGCGAGTTTAGCTTCAAAAGCCTGTAAACTGTATCATATCAAAACTTCATACTGACAACAAACTAGAAAATTTTCATATCTTGCCTAGTAAAAATAGATCAATAGTAACTGCAAAGCTAGTGTCCATCTAAAATCGAAAGAAGGATGATTGTTTTTTAAGTAGCTTTCGAACAGTAATAGCTATCGATCTGCGGTTTTCACCATTGGACAGAGAAATGTTGGTGCAAGATTTTACTGTAAAAAGTTGATTGGTTCACAATGGACCACTTAGATGAAGTCCCAACGGACATTTTGTAAACAATATTTTGAACGCAATTTTGATATTGCTATGGATTCTGACATGATAATTTGGTGGAAAAAAGTGTTCTCTTTCGATCTAGACAAGGCTCAACTTTCTATCAGATTTGTCTGAGAATTTAAACGGGTTTTACTGACACCCCGGATTTCGGCTACTTGAAGTAAAATCGTTCCGAAAACGATTTTGGAAGGGGTAATTCACTACACTGAGTTGGGTGGCAATGTTTATTTTTCGATCCGAAATGAATTAACGCTATAATTTTAATATTCTTCAAATTTCACATTCTAGTGTCATCTACCGACTTGAAGCACAATTTGAAGAATATTAAAATTATAGCGTTAATTCATTTCGGATCGAAAAATAAACATTGCCACCCAACTCAGTGTAGTGAATTACCCCTTCCAAAATCGTTTTCGGAACGATTTTACTTCAAGTAGCCGAAATCCGGGGTGTCAGTAAAACCCGTTTAAATTCTCAGGCAAATCTGATAGAAAGTTGAGCCTTGTCTAGATCGAAAGAGAACACTTTTTTCCACCAAATCGTCATGGCAGAAACCATAGCAATATCAGAATTGCATCTAAAATATTTGTAACGAAATATTTCGTGGGCTATTATTCTTTGGTTCTGGGTGAATTGATGAATCAAAATATAACGTTACGGGTTTTGATGATATTTATTTTAATTATAATATGAGCACACACAGATAATAACAATTTGACATAATATTGATAAATGATTACAACATGCACAATAATAATAAATGGTGAACGATAACCGTTTCACGATTCTGTATTGTAACTTCTACTTAATATTTCTAACTAACTAACTAGCTCTTTTCCTTACTATCTATACCACTGCCTCTCAATACTAATCCAAAATTATCTAACTCTCACTTACTATATTTTCTCGTCGTTTTATACTCCCGCTATTTTCTTTCTCTACTTCCTTCTATATTTCTATTTATTACTAAAAAAGGAAATTATGAACTAAATAGAAAATAACTTCGGCCTTTTCGATTATTTCATTGATTGACATAAACTCGTGAGCTCATCCATGTCATATTTGATCTAATGATGTACTGATAGTATCCGGAAGATATTATTTCCTATTATGCCCTAACCTTGCATTCATGCTTTTGTAAACATCGTAATATATAATCGTTCTTGTCGACTACACTAATTATCCGTATAAAGAATAACAAGAAATTCCATAATGGGGAAGCATAGATATCTGAATCAGGAGGGGTGTATTGTTCATAAAAAGGTACACATGATTTTCTGAATATCTGATAATATAGATTATTGACACAATATTGTTTACAAAATGTCCATTGGGATTTCATTTAAGGGCCCATTGTGAACCAATCAAACTTTTACAGTAAAATCTTGCACCAACATTTCTCTGTCCAATGGTGAAAACCGCAGATCGATAGCTACCACTGTTCGAAAGCTACTTAAAAAACAATCACCCTTCTTTTGATTTGAAATGGACATTAGTCCAAAAGCAATTTGTGGCAGAAATCTTTGATTTTATTTAAGAAATCATTATGAAAAGACACAGTGATGAACTCACTATTTGCTCACACATCAAAATTTTGGATTTCGAACTTTTTTCCAGTAAAGTGTCAATGTGAATGTCGTTTCCTAATCTAAAGGGTGTCATTAAGTGTATTTTCATACTCGTACGTCTATGTAGACTTCAGCGATGTGGTGTACACTTTCCATTAGACAAATATCATAGGACTATTGATCCTTAGATTCAATCCAGCGTTATTAGACTCCCATGCTAGAAATAGGCACTTCTAACCTAATAAATCATTGCCAGTGTTCTTCAAGAGGTCGGTTTTGAAATAGCAGAAATTTTTTTGTTAATATAGTCAAATATCTAGGAGGAACATAAAGAGACTGTATTTTGCATTAATGCACTACTGCGGTCAGACATTCACGAATATAATTTCTACGGCTAAGAAAGTTATTTCTCGATTTGCTGTCTAATTAGACTTGGACAATATATGGAAAAAACGCCTATTCCATGATGTTCTAGGAGTTTTCATTTCTATGAACTATCAGGTTATAAATTTCGAACCCACCAATATAAAAATAGCAACAAAGGAAGAAATTCAATTTTCATTTATATAAATTACAAATTTACAAATTTATATGGCAACAATGTTAAAATGAGAAAAAAAGGAAAAGAGTGTATTTCGACTCACGGAAATTGTGATATCTAATTCACTCATTTACTCTCCCATCCACCACACCACTCATCACCCCACCCTGAAACCAACACCCACACCCTTCATTTATAAATTAAAATAAATGAAAATTTAATCTTTTGCTTTTCTCCTAAAACAACATAGGTGCGTCGTTTTTTTATATTCGAAGCGGTTATAGTTGACTCGATGCCCATTTATATTCGAAGTTGAATTAGGCGACTGATGATAAAACCATGGTAAACTCGTACCAATAGTTTGTCGTTCACAAATCATGTTTCCAAAAACGAAAAACGATCCTCTATTTGCTTATAGACATTGAGAGTGCATGGGCATGTGTATATGCTGCCAAATAAATAAACCTTATTGTCGCCTTGCTTACTTCTCTCTAAAACGTTTAACTTAATGAAAACAATCTAAAGAGAATGAAAAATATGAAAGTCTTTTTGTAGGAACGGTCGTCACATGCACAAAAGGGAGTAACATTTGTTCGCCTCTTAGTTGTAGATTGAAATGCTATTTTCCAACGTACTTCTCTCACCAATAAATCGAAAAGTGACCAATGACCCTTGAATATACATCTTACCTATATGATCGGTTTCTATCATTCTGAAGTTTTCTTTCCTCTAAGACAGCGGAAAATGTTCACTGTGTACGTACCTCGTGATTCACTAATTATTCGCAAAATGCTTTCAAACACATGATTGTACGTGGATATATCAAATAAATATAAGTAGAGCGATTTTCCTGCTAATAGAAATGGTTGATGCGCTGAAAGCTCCAAAGATTTTGTAAGTTAGAGTAGTCGAAGAACCGTTAGTACTAGCTTTGTTTCTAAATTTTCGAACCATTACTCTCCGCCCAATCGAATGATTGAAAATGACACCATTTTATAGAGAATTAAGTTGGCAACAATAGCAAGTAATCGAATTTTCTGTTTACTTAAAAGCGACTGCAGAAAAACAAAAATACTGAAAAATCTTTTCAAAAACCCTTTTCTTCATAATTTCCCTCTGAAAAAGTATCAATCTGGGAGTCGCTCATATATGTATTTGGATTCATTGCAGTTTTGTTTGCTCTGTGAAAGTAGCATTATCTGAAATTAGACGGTTAAAATTGGCTTCAAAAAATAAGATTTATCAAAAATAATCAAAACTTTAATGTTTTCTTCCCACATATAATCATGTTTTTTTTTAATTTCTTCTAACTGCGTAAACAGAAGATTTGCAGCTTTAAAAATCTTTTTTGATGGCCACGATTTTTGTCGTACAGTCGAATGGAGTAAAATAAAATACTGTGTGTGTGTGGGCAACGGGGAAATAGCGTACTCCAGGACTCCAGCAATCCAAGCTATGATAAAATCTGCTGCTTAGTAGAGGTGGACCGTTGATTTTAATTTGAGTTAATTAAGAGAGTTAATTAAGTGGTTTTACTGAACACTTAATATTAAATTAACTTAAAGTGCTACCGCTACACTGCTTAGTGCCTTCAGCTATCGGAAATTTAAAAAAAGACTGCATTAACTGTCGATTAAAAATTTCCTCTTTTTACCATCACAATATTTTGTAAATGCTTCATAGCGTCTGATAAAATGTAAAAATATGAAAAAAAGATAAATATGAAAACAATTAACGAATGACAAATTTTTAAAAATAATAAGGAAATTGGAAATTTAAAAAAATCCAGCTTCGTAAGAAGACAATATACTGTATGATATACTATGAATAAAGTAAAAAGAGAAGTATAAACAGGAAAATGTTCCTAAGGTAAATATTATTGTCTTCTCGTTCTTCTTACAACTTCTTTCGTATTATAAGATGATTGTATTGAATGAAGCTTTCTTTTCGCTCTACTTTTACTTTTTAATAATGGCGAAGGTTGTTCAACACTTTCATGACCATCAGTTGTTATAGAAGTAGATGTAGAATTAAGTAATATCGCATTTGATGATGATTCGTGATCTGGTGCAGTATCTGATGATGTAAAAGATTGTTGAAATATCTGCAGTTATTGATGAAATCAGCTTACAAATTTTTATTAATTCATTCATTTTATCACATGCATTATTATTACGAAAATCTTGTAAATGCCTGTAAAAGTTTGATAGTTGAAATTTGCCACGATTATTTGTTAATGATATCCATTTGTTACAACAACATTTTATATTAGCTTTTAATACACCACTTGCATCATTTTATATGGAAATAGAGTAATGTTGGCCTTCAATCAAGGACAAATTTGACAAATTAAGTCTGGATTCATTATTTTTATACCAATTATTCAATGTATTATTTATATAAGTTTTATGTTCATCGAGTGATAAGTTTAAAGATTTTGATGTAACAACGTTTGATGAATTACCCGATAAAACTGCCATTGTTGATTCTGTGGTAGCTGAGGATGTGTCTATGGTTCTATCTAATGGTGGTGATGATTGATTACGTTTTGAAGATTTTGTTAACTTTGCATCAGCAGTACATTTTTGTTTTAATAAATCAATAAGATAGTCCACATTTCCTTTTATACCAGTGTTTATAATGAATGTATCATCATCAAGCATAAAACCATGTTTATTTTTAAAACAATCTAAAGCTTTGCTTTTCAAATTCATAATACAATAAACATCAGCTGTCATCAACAATGATTTAACACAATTGATACTTTGAGTTTCAAAAAGATCAACAGCAGCATCGCCAGCTTCTTTTCGAACAAAATCAAAAAATTTAACGTCACGTAATAACATGATATCAGATGGCAAAATTGATGTATCAATAAGAGCTTCTGTTTGAAACATTTAAATATTAACTATATTTGTATAAATAAAATTCTCTCCCGAGAGAGAGCAAGCGAGAAAGGTTTAATGATTCATGAATATTATGAGCCAATAGCTTCTAAAGTGATGTTCTCTATACAAGCGTAGCTAGTACTTTTCAATTTTTTGTAACATTCCATCCTTTCAAATGATGGATGTTTTCTTCAGATTACCGACATGTGACTCATCACAGTTGTTTATCAGCTGGAAGTGTTTGAAAAATATGTCAGATTTTTGTTTCCAAACTTATTATAAACTATTATGTTTGAACACATTTGGTTTTCTAGATAAAAAATCGATCGTTTTCTTCTTATGGATGATGGATTGCCAGAGAATGTTTTTTCTTTAAAGAACGATGATTTTTATGAATTTATTCAAGTATTAGTTGGACAACAAATGGCGGATATTCTAAAATTCCAATCAATTACATCTACACAATCTCTTATTCGAAACCCGAATATCTTTGCAATATTTAATATGAATTCTTCGGAATCTAGTTTCTTAATGATAAGAGAAAGATCATGTTTTCAACTTGATAATGGAGCATTTATTGTGAAGATTGGGTTAATAAATAATTTGAATCGTTTATTAGAATTTTTAAAGCAACAGCAACAAAAATAAATTAAAACAAGTAGTAATACAGATTCTAATCCCACTTTATCATTTGATTTTATAAATAAATATCCATTGTTAAAAAAATGAATTATTTGGTATCAACGAGTTAGCAATGAAAATGAAGCTGATGAAAATAAAGATAAATTTTTAAACTATTTTATTGATACTATCACTGATAATTTGACAAAATCGAAAAATAATTTTCGATATAGTAATTCGATTAAGAATTTTGCTTTATCGTTGTATATTTTGGGTGGTAAATTGACCTATGAATTTCTTAGATTAAATTTACCTGGATCTTTACCATATGGTTTACCTGGATTAAATTTAAAACATTTAATTAAACACAAACCAGAAAAAATAATAAAAGCAGATATTTTATTACACAACCAGCATATTTATCGGTTGAAATAAATGCTCATAATTTATTATATTTAATTTTACTTGTCAAACAAAAGCAGTAACCACCACAAGCACTGAATATTCCTATTTTTAACTCGCAAGCTTGTGAATCAATTTTTAGAAATACGCGAGCGTTAAGTGGAATTTATTCAGCCATAGTCAACTTTACAGTACATAATTTTCTACGACGTGCCCAAAGATTATCATTATTGAATGACATTAAATGTAAACAGTTACATAATGGTTCAGTTGAAAAGTTAGTCTTTCCGGTTCATTATAAACATCGGGTTGAATGTCAATCATCATTTACACACAGTCAACTTGAAATTAATGAAATAGACATCGAACAAGTTATTACTGATGCCTATCATCATGCTGTTTATATGCTTGATGGTCTAGATATATTGAACTTATTGGAAAAAAACATGTTCTTGAATTAAAAACATTAAGTGAATATTTATTTCGACAATTAAATTTCAATTCACAAAAACATAATTACTCTTCTCAAATAAGCAATATAGATGATGAAGTATTTGAAAGTGACGATGATAATGATGAAGATGGAGATGACACAACAAATGATTTCAACATGAATGAGGACAATGATGATAGCTCTATTAACAACGATTACACTGATGAAGATGAACAAAATAACACTCAAGATTTAATAAATACTACAAAGAAAGACTTCTCTGGAGTAAAAGTTGCCGATAAAGTGGAGCCTCATATTGAACATACCTATTTTAAAGTGAAATAAAATCATGATACACAATTTTTACACAAACAAACTGCTTGTTGGTTGTTAACAGAAGAGAAAAGTAAACTTTAAAATGATCGATTATTTCGCGTGCAATAGGTCAATAAATGATAATATAAATGGTTTTTTCTTTTTTTTTATAGTTTTTGTTTGATTTTTTTCAATAAAAGGTATATTTTGTTGAATTTAAAATTTTTCTATTCATTGAATGTGTTGTATATGGGTGGTGCACAGATACTGTGCGAACATCTCAAAAGTGGAGCCAATACCAGTTTAATTCTATGTAACAGGTGATGAAAAGTAAAATCAATATACAGCAGTATTACATGTCTATAATATACTTGTGAAGTGCTCTTTAGAATTTCAAACGACTCCACTGGACTCCACTGGACTTCATTGGATTGAAGTCCGCTATTTCCCCCTTGGGGTGTGGGTGTTACTTTCAAAAACAGGCAAATCGTGCAAGAGGGACACCCACGCCCCCTTTTTATTGTTAGTTTATTTGAAATACGTTTTCATCAAGTAAATATGTTTTTAAATGCCCTTGAACTGAAGTAGTATCACATTAAACTTTCCATATGCGTTATATATTGATGGTTCATCATAATATACACGAGATGGCATTAATATTAAATAATTACAAAATCAAAATTATTTAAAGTCATTTGAGGGCATTAATGAAAATATTATAGTGAACTAAAACACAGAATAGTAATCCTAAAAAACTTCTAAAATTTTTACTTTAGATGAATCAGCATCAAGAAAACTTTTCAACATTAATCGTTCGCCTATTTCAGGTTTAAAATAATATTTAATCTTTAACTTCTGATTTTCTTTTAGTTTTTCCTGCAATTCATTAGTTATTTTTGTGTTTTTATCCTAAATAATTTTCGAAGCCTTTTGCACCAAAAGAGGATTGATTTGTTATTGATAAACTAATACCTGATGCTTTATTTCAATGAAAAACAGTCGAACTAAATATTTATATATTTTTTTACATTGAGTTTAATCAAATTTCACTGCTTCTAAGAACATTGTTATAGTTTGAAGAATAAGATGGAAAAATTCTAATATGAAATTTTATCCTTGTAGAAACTCCAATCGAAAAGGAGAATAGAATCTTGATTTAAAACAAAAAGCTTGTTAGTTCAGTCCCCTTTGGGGCTAAAATGTGGAGCTCACATATATCCCTTCGGCTTACTAAAATAATTCAAAATAAATCAACTGAAAAATCTACCCTGATTTCCAAAACCTATAATTAGATCATTCCCTATTTTCACTTATGTCTGTAATTGAGTATTAATTACTAGCTTGTATATTTAACAAGGGCAGAGACTAGTTTCTATGGTCTGTAATGGGTAAACATTGCTTTTTTCGTGTAGTCTGTAATTGAAATAGGAAGAAATAGCAGCCTAATTAGTCAAGCTCCTAATTAGCACAATTTTAAACTCACTAATGTCTGTAATGCGGAGGGGGGGGCGGGGAGCCGCAAAAATCTCTTCTTTAAACTTACACTCACCATTTTCTTCGAAAATATATGTGAGTTCCACATAACAAATTTTCAGGGTATTATTCACAAAAGATATTCAATATAAATAGATAAATTTTTGAGATGCCTGGAGTGGATGTGATTATTTTCAATAGAAGCTCATCAAAACACGCACAATCGCCTATATCCTTGAATTATACCGACAGCAACACCCACGCCCTCAAGATTTCAGCAGAAACGGATGATCCTAAGTGGTAAATCGATTCTGGGGGGAAGGTGGCCCTTAAGACACTTTCTTATTTAAAATATTTTTTTCTTTTCTATTTTAGATCAATAAGATTAATATCAAGTGACATAAAAGAACAGATAAACTAAGTCGAATTTTTGTGCTTTTATTTTCATGCATATAATTCGACCAACAGGATTTAGTCATCCAAAACAAAGTACCAATGCAAAGTCGGAGAATGTGTTACGGCATCGAGAGTGACATGGCTGGGGGGGCGGTTTAGGCTTTAGTTTAGATTGAGTTTCTAGTCGTAAACATTGAGATTGGTTAGAAAGAGAAGGGGCTTGAATAGAGTTCTCTGTTCTTTTATGATCTTCCCACACGTGACCTTGAACACCGATTCGGAAACGGTTCTGTTGTCTCTAGCACACGAAAAGTCTTTCGGGCTCACTTATGTAGATTATCTCAGTGGAAATCTGTACATGACGTGGGTCTTCTTTCGTGTGTATGAGCTTTACACTCGACGCAACCACTTCAGGGTCGTTCTTGGTTGTATGCCCGCACGCAAGCTAGATAATTGTTTCAAAATCAGTGCAATCGAATTTCATTTTTATTGAATTAAATCAAAACGTTGCACACGATGACGGTAGAACTCGGCTGCATAGAGATTGCCATGACGATCGAAGGATAAACCAACGGGTCCACCCACTGATGCTTCTTGACCATCAATAATAGCAGTTCCTTCTGTGGCTCCTTTAGGCCAACGCATGATTCGATGATTCCCACCGTCAGACACATAGACGGTGCCCGACTGATCGACAACGACTCCGCGAGGATATGACAATTGTTGAAGACCACGTCCTTGTCCTTCACGACCAGCGACGACAATGCCTTCTCGTGCACCTTCTGTCCATTTCATTACACGATGATTGTAACAGTCAGACACGTATGCTGTATGATTTCGATCGACGAATACGTACCGTGGCTCTTTCAGTTGATCGAGACGATTCCCTTCTCCATTCCCACCTGCAACGACTGTTCCTTGAGATTCTCCTATTCGGTATCGTCTCACTTCATGTTTTTCGTTGTCACTAACATAGAGAGATCTATTCTCGTCCATGGTCCAACCTCGACAAGCTATATTCGATATAATCGTTGTTGCGCATGCATCATTTTGACAAGGCCATAGAACCATTCTTCTATTCGAACGATCGCAAATGATGAGACTGTCAGTCTCTTTGTCGACAATCACATCTGTTGGAAAACCTATTTGACTAACTCTATTCGATAGTCCAGTTTCACCAGCAACAATTTCACCAGTCGCTGCATTCGCTTTCCATTGTACTATGCGATTATTCAAGCGATCAGCAACATACACAGTCTGTTCATCGTCCACAAATAAACCATTTGGGTGATAGAGTTGATTCAGTGCCCTGCCTGATCGATTTCCTCCAGCAACAGTGATACCTTTTTGTTGCCAATGAGCATTTTCTGGAATGTCAATCGTACTGGCACGTAACGGTGTCCACACTATTTAAATAGAAATCGAAAAAGAAATAGAAGAAGTTTTTTCTTCTTTTATCATCATGAGTTCATTGTTGTTCTAGTTGAAAACAGAAAGATAAAACTGAGAAAAGAAAAAAAAATTAATTTTCATTATGAAACCTAAAAATAAAAGATTCTTTTGTGAAACGCGACCTACAAGAGGTGTTATAGTATATAGGGTAAAAATGTGGAACCTTCCAGTCTCCTCGGGGCGGGGGGGGGGGGGGGGGGGGGGGGGGGGGGGGGGCGGGGGGGGGGGGGCGGGNCCCAGCCCGCTCCCCCTACCCCCCCCGCCCCCCCCCCCCCACTAACTTGACAGACAAGCTAGAAAATCTCTGACAATTCATCACAGACGTGACAGACATTTTTTGATACGTGATGAACGATCATATACCACTAGGATCTCATGAGAAGATAGAAATTGTTTCTTATTGCAGTTCTCGAAAACTACGTAAAAGATGATGAAAAAATTGGCCCTACAGTAGATTGTAGAAAGCAGTAATATTTTGAATAGTACCAGTAGCTACAACGTGTTTCATATTTTTAGTCCCAAAGAGATTGCGCTAACTGCTTTCTTCTATTATTATTATTCATTCTTGCACACCCATAAATACATCAATAACGAAACAAAATTCCAGAATACATATTGACCCTTCTTACTATATCCCTTCATTTTTTATTGGGTTCTATACTGTAATAAAAAGTACAGTAGAATGAAAACAAAAATCAATAATACGATCGGATTGATAAGGGTGTGGGTGGTTGATTCTGTTATCAACAACCATGCCCACACAAACATCCACACCCACACCCACATCCCATATAATATTAAAAGATATCTTAGTTTAATCCAGTTTGAAATATTTTTATATGAACTCTCAATACATAAGAAATACCTTAAACGTTTCAATTTTTGTTCTTTACATATTGAAAGCTGTTTCTTCAACACTAACTCCAGAATTGACAGTTTTGTTCATTTTCAAGAATTAAAGTTGATAGAGCTCGCTCTTGTTTTCAATACGATTTCAGATTTAGTTTGGCAATGCAGTATTCTTGCTGTCTTGTTCTTAAATAACTATTTTATCTAAACTTATTAAAGCAGATCGATCAGTATGACTGCCACAAAAGCTTCATTTTCCTTGGAGCAGTAAATTAAACATTCATCGATGACATAATCATTAAAGACAAGAAAACGTGTGATAATATAGGTTATAATTTGGTTATCGATATTTGATCGCTTCTAATACATAATCCCTCAATACACTTTCCAATCAGAATAGTGAACAAAATTTATCAACTGTGTCGAAACAGATTTTAAGTCCCCATTGAATTTGGATCAAAATTATCACTCACATTGACTATATACGATTATTTTGCTTCCTTGCTCGTGATTCCAAGTAAAAATTTACGCGATCAATGTATTTGGTAAACTCATAATGTAAAAGCGCGTAACATTTCATTCACTTCTTTCTTAAACATTGCAGTAAACACTCATCGACTAGGTTTCATGCAGAATGCAATCAAGAGTGGAAACAATTTTTACTTATAAACTGAATTCGTTTCAAACGATTATTTTTGAATGCATGGTTCATAATTAAGCAAAATTAAGCAATGTGTGATCGCAAATGAGAAGTAACCAAATTCTTTCATGAAATTGGCTGCATTCATCAAAGTTTATGTTTAATCAATTTATGTATATCTGCATTGGATGTTGGAAAAGGAGTGCCTATTTATCACACCTGCAAAATCAGCTCAATTTACTTTGATTTTATATTAGAATCACGTTTTAAGTAGTCTCTAGGAAGTACAGTTAATGATAAAATGAGCTTATCACTGTGTTTATCTCAAATATTCGCAGCAGCTCATTAACAAGTTTCACACAAACTCAAAAGCACTGCTTTTGTATTTCGAATATTCATAACAATTTACTCACTGTTGCTGCTGTTGTCAAGGCCAATTTTTTACCTTATAGAATATCTCCTGTTTTTTACTTTTTCAGTGTGGCAACAAGCGTACCTCCTTTTTTTCGTCTTCAGCATAAGCTGCACATTCACGTTGGTTTGTTCGTTTTCATTCTTCCTTTATGTTCTTTACGAGCACAGTTACGCTTTACTGAAATACTGCACATGACAGCAATACAGTATTGACGAAAGGGTGCGGGTGTGTTTATAGTAGCAACCATGACGTGTTTTGTCCATGTTAAAGGGTCTCATCAGGCAGTTGATTTTTATTTACATGTCGAAAATATTTGAGAATCCATTATGTTGGAAATGAAAAATCTTTCCATAGGAATTATTGTTGGCTTTGTATTTGGAGAAGGTGTCATGTGATAGCTTGCTTCTCATAAGTAGATGCATGTGATTAGTAGCTTTTATTTTCACTTTCTGTATTCACATAATGGCATGGTTTATTCGGAAATGTGACTGATGGGATCATTTTTATGATAATAGTTGTAGGCGTGTAGTCAAATGCAAATTTTAGACGATACTGTTATGGGAGCAGCCAATGTGACGATGATATCCTGTGCCTTAATTTCAGGTTATTTCTGTTTAAGGTCTCCTGTTATATTGCATAATTTCTTTTCGATTGCGAGATTTTTTATTTATTTATAAATAGCAACAGTTGAGGAATTCGAGTTGTTTTGGGGTATTACCCCTAGCGTACCGCCAAGAAATTTTCTGATAGAGATAATGAGTATCCATCGAAACAATTTATTAAATTTAAAACTAAAAAAAATTAAATTTCAATTAAATCTTAAATCTAACTTGGTAGAATTTAATCAAAAAATTGTATTTTAATTTTCGCGAATTTAAATATAAGTTAAATAAACTGTAAATTAACATCCATAGTAATATCCTAAAACAACGAAAATTTCTCAACTTGAAACATATATTTATATCGACGTGGATACCCTTGGGGTAATATTCCCAAAAGAGTTCGATGGGTATTATGACTTCCAAATCATGATACCCAGTGTAAAGGTATTGTGACATCTATGACATTCGATGACATTACAATAGCTACATATCAAAATTTATTTGGAAATGAAGCTAATAAAATTATCCAAGAATTACAACCTCGAAAACTTAATGATCAGTTGAAAAAATATGAATTGAAACTTAAACATTATGAAGATTTGTATCAAAATGAAATCAATATGTTTGAGTCTAAACTTATACAAACAAGTTTAAATCATCAACATACTCAAGTAGGTATTTCAATGACCTTATTGAAATACTATTTGAGTCATCACACCAATCAATTAATACGTCAAATTCGTTATAGAGAAGCGTGTGTCCATGTAAAATTAGTACGTCAGCATCACCGTCATTTATTATCGAAACAGCAAATAGTCGATGTTTATCCACACATCATTGCTGATGTTCCTACAATAGCATTGAATAGGCTTCAATTAGATTATCTCTCCAAAAGTAGTAAGACGATATCTTTCTTTTATAGCATTATCTCAATCGTTAATTTATTATTTTCTATTCATGTTCTGATACGTTTTCTCTTTCAACGACCTAATTATATCAGGTCAAATCAAAATTCTCTCCATTCTTTTAAATATCAAGAAAAACATGTGTGAAGCAAGAACATAAGAACATTATGAATGTGATAACTCGTTATCTTATCCGTGAGCATCATATTCCACTAACAGCAACAATAATCAGAGAATTCTCTCAACAATTGGAAACAAGTCTGCATCAACAATATATGACTCTATTATCTTATCTAAACATACAGTGCGGTGCATAATTATAAGACCACTTGTTCTCAAATTAAACTAAGTGAAATGAGCCATATTTTTAGTGATTTCACATAGATGATTCATAAGAATAGCGCTATAAAATTTTCAAGCGGGAGTCTTTTTATTTTCCTATATATCTAGAATTACCTCCATTTTGGTGGTGCATAAATATAAGACCACATGATTGGTTTTTAATACTAAGTGAATCATCAGTGACTTTGAATAAAATTAACACACAGGATAACACTGAGATTTAAGCTATAACATGCCCAGTGAAATACAACTAACAGAAAGTGAAAGAAAGTTGATTTTAGCATTACACAAGAAAAATAAATCCCATCGAGAAATTGCCACGAAAATCAANGCTTGAAAATTTTATAGCGTTATTCTTATGTCTCATCTATGTGAAATCACTAAAAATATGGCTCATTTCACTTAGTTTAATTTGAGAACAAGTGGTCTTATAATTATGCACCACACTGTATGTCAAACACGAAAAGAATTCAAACTAATGAAATCGATTCAATATAGACTAAAGAAGGAAAAACATATTCTTCGCGAGACAGATAAAAGTGGAATTTTTCATATTGGTAATTCAGCTGATTATGAAAAGAAAGCAGAAGCTTATCGACAAAAAACTGGCGCTTATATTGAATTAGATTTTAATCCATTATGGAGTGTATTTGAGAAAGTTATTCTTTTACTCAATCGTCTTCGTTCAAAAAAATATATTCTATCGTGACAGCTAGATAAAATAATGTTGAAACAAGAAAAAGTTCAGTTAGCTTATTTGTACTTCATTCCTGAACCCCACAAGGTAATTTATTTTTAATTTTTGATTCTTATCTCTATTCAACGCATTTTATTAAGTAGGAACACTACTGAGGCCTATTGTATCATCAATGAATATGCAAACAACAGAAATTTCAAAGTTTTTGGACAAATTAATCCGATGAATATTTGATAAACATACACGTTCAACCACAATTATTGACGGAGTTGATTTGATTCATCGTTTAGAAGCATGTACAAAAAATGGGTATCTCAAACCTAAAACTTATTTATGCACGTTTGATATTACAGATTTATATACGATGTTACCACAAGAAGAATCACTTGATATTCTAATTGAATTTCTCCTTCAACATGACTATCAAAAAGTTCAAAATATTCCAATTGATATTATTCGAAAGTTAGCTCTTATCGTCATTAAAGAAAACGTTTTTGTTTATGAGAGAAAGTTCTATCGGCAAGTCATTGGTGGTGCGATGAGCTCAGCATTTACTTTGACACTAGCTAATACTTAGGTCGTACAAAAAATTCTCAGATTATTAAAAAACATATAAAGACAAAGAGAAAGTTCGAGTTTTATTTTATTAAATGTTCAAAATAGTCACCATGATTATTTATACAAAGTTCCATCCTCTCTAATAGTTTGTCGAAAGTTTTTTAA